CGAAGGGTCAGCACCACCATGAAGGGTCAGCACCACCATGAAGGGTCAGCGTCACCATGAAGGGTCAGCACCACCATGAAGGGTCAGCACCACCATGAAGGGTCAGCACCACCATGAAGGGTCAGCACCACCATGAAGGGTCAGCACCACCACGAAGGGTCAGCACCACCATGAAGGGTCAGCACCACCACGAAGGGTCAAGCACCACCATGAAGGGTCAGCACCACCATGAAGGGTCAGCACCACCACGAAGGGTCAGCACCACCATGAAGGGTCAGCACCACCATGAAAGGTCAGTACCACCATGAAGGGTCAGCACCACCATGAAGGGTCAGCACCACCATGAAGGGTCAGCACCACCATGAAGGGTCAGCACCACCATGAAGGGTCAGCGTCACCATGAAGGGTCAGCACCACCATGAAGGGTCAGCACCACCATGAAGGGTCAGCACCACCATGAAGGGTCAGCAGCACCATGAAGGGTCAGCACCACCACGAAGGGTCAGCACCACCATGAAGGGTCAGCACCACCATGAAGGGTCAGCACCACCATGAAGGGTCAGCACCACCATGAAGGGTCAGCACCACCACGAAGGGTCAGCACCACCATGAAGGGTCAGCACCACCATGAAGGGTCAGCACCACCATGAAGGGTCAGCACCACCATGAAGGGTCAGCACCACCATGAAGGGTCAGCACCACCATGAAGGGTCAGCACCACCATGAAGGGTCAGCGTCACCATGAAGGGTCAGCACCATCATGAAGGGTCAGCACCACCATGAAGGGTCAGCACCACCATGAAGGGTCAGCACCACCATGAAGGGTCAGCACCACCGTGAAGGGTCAGCACCACCATGAAGGGTCAGCACCACCATGAAGGGTTAGCACCACCATGAAGGGTCAGCGTCACCATGAAGGGTCAGCGTCACCATGAAGGGTCAGCACCACCATGAAGGGTCAGCACCACCATGAAGGGTCAGCACCACCATGAAGGGTCAGCACCACCATGAAGGGTCAGCACCACCATGAAGGGTCAGCGTCACCATGAAGGGTCAGCACCACCATGAAGGGTCAGCACCACCATGAAGGGTCAGCACCACCATGAAGGGTCAGCACCACCATGAAGGGTCAGCACCACCATGAAGGGTCAGCGTCACCATGAAGGGTCAGCACCACCATGAAGGGTCAGCACCACCATGAAGGGTCAGCACCACCATGAAGGGTCAGCACCACCATGAAGGGTCAGCACCACCATGAAGGGTCAGCACCACCATGAAGGGTCAGCACCACCATGAAGGGTCAGCACCACCATGAAGGGTCAGCACCACCATGAAGGGTCAGCGTCACCATGAAGGGTCAGCACCACCATGAAGGGTCAGCACCACCATGAAGGGTCAGCACCACCATGAAGGGTCAGCACCACCATGAAGGGTCAGCACCACCATGAAGGGTCAGCACCAACATGAAGGGTCAGCACCACCATGAAGGGTCAGCGTCACCATGAAGGGACAGCACCACCATGAAGGGTCAGCACCACCATGAAGGGTCAGCACCACCATGAAGGGTCAGCACCACCATGAAGGGTCAGCACCACGATGAAGGGTCAGCACCACCATGAAGGGTCAGCACCACCATGAAGGGTCAGCACCACCATGAAGGGTCAGCGTCACCATGAAGGGTCAGCACCACCATGAAGGGTCAGCACCACTATGAAGGGTCAGCACCACCATGAAGGGTCAGCACCACCATGAAGGGTCAGCACCACCATGAAGGGTCAGCACCACCATGAAGGGTCAGCACCACCATGAATGGTCAGCACCACCATGAAGGGTCAGCACCACCATGAAGGGTCAGCAGCACCATGAAGGGTCAGCACCACCATAAAGGGTCAGCACCACCATGAAGGGTCAGCACCACCATGAAGGGTCAGCACCACCATGAAGGGTCAGCACCACCATGAAGGGTCAGCACCACCATGAAGGGTCAGCAGCACCATGAAGGGTCAGCACCACCATGAAGGGTCAGCACCACCATGAAGGGTCAGCACCACCATGAAGGGTCAGCACCACCATGAAGGGGTCAGCACCACCATGAAGGGTCAGCACCACCATGAAGGGTCAACACCACCATGAAGGGTCAGCACCACCATGAAGGGTCAGCACCACCACGAAGGGTTAGCACCACCACGAAGGGTCAGCACCACCACGAAGGGTCAGCACCACCACGAAGGGTCAGCACCACCACGAAGGGTCAGCACCACCATGAAGGGTCAGCACCACCACGAAGGGTCAGCACCACCACGAAGGATCAGCACCACCACGAAGGGTAAGCACCACCACGAAGGGTCAGCACCACCACGAAGGGTCAGCACCACCACGAAGGGTCAGCACCACCATGAAGGGTCAACACCACCACGAAGGGTCAGCACCACCACGAAGGGTCAGCACCACCACGAAGGGTCAGCACCACCACGAAGGGTCAGCACCACCATGAAGGGTCAGCACCACTATGAAGGGTCAGCACCACCATGAAGGGTCAGCACCACCATGAAGGGTCAGCACCACCAAGAAGGGTCAGCACCACCACGAAGGGTCAGCACCACCATGAAGGGTCAGCACCACCACGAAGGGTCAGCACCACCATGAAGGGTCAGCACCACCACGAAGGGTCAGCACCACCATGAGGGGTCAACACCACAATGAAGGGTCAGCACCACCATGAGGGGTCAGCACCACCACGAAGGGTCAGCACCACCATGAGGGGTCAACACCACCACGAAGGGTCAGCACCACCATGAGGGGTCAACACCACAATGAAGGGTCAGCACCACCATGAGGGGTCAACACCACAATGAAGGGTCAGCACCACCATGAACGGTCAACACCACAATGAAGGGTCAACACCACCACGAAGGGTCAGCACCACCACGAAGGGTCAGCACCACCATGAAGGGTCAACACCACCACGAAGGGTCAGCACCACCACGAAGGGTCAGCACCACCACGAAGGGTCAGCACCACCATGAAGGGTCAACACCACCACGAAGGGTCAGCACCACCACGAAGGGTCAGCACCACAATGAAGGGTCAGCACCACCATGAAGGGTCAGCACCACCACGAAGGGTCAGCACCACCATGAAGGGTCAGCACCACCATGAAGGGTCAGCACCACCATGAAGGGTCAGCACCACCACGAAGGGTCAGCACCACCATGAAGGGTCAGCACCACCATGAAGGGTCAGCACCACCATGAAGGGTCAGCACCACCACGAAGGGTCAGCACCACCACGAAGGGTCAGCACCACCACGAAGGGTCAGCACCACCACGAAGGGTCAGCACCACCACGAAGGGTCAGCACCACCATGAAGGGTCAACACCACCACGAAGGGTCAGCACCACCACGAAGGGTCAGCACCACCATGAAGGGTCAGCACCACAATGAAGGGTCAGCACCACCACGAAGGGTCAGCACCACCACGAAGGGTCAGCACCACCACGAAGGGTCAGCACCACCACGAAGGGTCAGCGCCACCATGAAGGGTCAACACCACCATGAAGGGTCAGCACCACCATGAACGGTCAACACCACCATGAAGGGTCAGCACCACCATGAAGGGTCAGCACCACCACGAAGGGTCAGCACCACCATGAAGGGTCAGCACCACCACGAAGGGTCAAGCACCACCACGAAGGGTCAGCACCACCACGAAGGTTCAGCACCACCACGAAGGGTCAGCGCCACCACGAAGGGTCAAGCACCACCACGAAGGGTCAAGCACCACCACGAAGGGTCAAGCACCACCACGAAGGGTCAAGCACCACCATGAAGGGTCAACACCACCATGAAGGGTCAGCACCACCACGAAGGGTCAAGCACCACCACGAAGGGTCAAGCACCACCACGAAGGGTCAGCACCACCACGAAGGGTCAAGCACCACCACGAAGGGTCAAGCACCACCACGAAGGGTCAAGCACCACCACGAAGGGTCAAGCACCACCACGAAGGGTCAAGCACCACCACGAAGGGTCAGCACCACCACGAAGGGTCAAGCACCACCACGAAGGGTCAGCACCACCACGAAGGGTCAAGCACCACCACGAAGGGTCAAGCACCACCACGAAGGGTCAGCACCACCACGAAGGGTCAGCACCACCACGAAGGGTCAGCGCCAATTCAAATATTAATTGAATATATAAATATTTAGAGTAAATCACGGAACTATTTACTCTACCCACCATGAGAGTAAGATCAAGAGCGGAACATAACGATGCCAACACACAAGACACTGCTCAATATAATAGGCCAATTACTCCTAATTAATCTTTGTCTGAGGGAGCCGGTCGGCCGAGCGGACAGCACGCGGGACTTGTGATCCTGTGGTCCTGGGTTCGATCCCAGGCGCCGGCGAGAAACAATGGGCAGAGTCTCTTTCACCCTATGTCCCCTGTTACCTAGCAGTAAAATAGGTACCTGGGTGTTAGTCAGCTGTCACGGGCTGCTTCCTGGGGGTGGAGGCCTGGTCGAGGACCGGGCCGCGGGGACACTAAAGCCCCGAAATCATCTCAAGATGTGTCCCCTAGTTACCCACGTTTTCACCTCACCCCGTACTGGTATAAATGCACCCAGTTTTGTCATTTCTTAACGGGCTCGCCATAGCCCGTGCTACATGGACACTTCGTCCTGAGTAGCTAAATCTTCAACAACATAATTTCTTAGACAGTTATAGCACCGCTCCTGTGCCAGGTAAGTCCACTGCGGGCTCACTATAGCCAGTGCAACTTGCCCCGCTCCTGTGCCAGGTAAGTCCACTACGGGCTCACCATAGCCAGTGCTACTTGGAACTTGGTCCGAGTAGCTGAATCTATAACAACAACAACAACGTAATTTCTTATCACTTGAGAAGGAACCATGTAGGTTCGAAACGTCGTGCAATTGTATAATAAATGCACTACATTATTCAGTTATTCACTTCTTTTCCTTTACCTGGAAATGGAACATGAGTTTTGGTGAACTCTTCCAGCTGAACCCTGATGCTAGAACACTAGGAAGAGGGATAGACGCCCTAAATCAGATGACTGTAAATACAGAATATGCTGTCATTTTCAATGAGACATGTTTAATAGAAAACCTGCTGCCTGTATACGCCAATTTTTATATAATTATATTCCCAATGACATCACAATTAGGAGATATGTTTATGAGAAAATCTAAGGCGCAGGATGAGGCTAGACCCGGCGTGGTGCGGGTCTCCCCAGGCGGGCGCCTTAACCCCCTGGACCACGACGTGCTAAAGGTAATACATCTTGGAGATTGACTAGTCCAACACAATGTGCTTGTGTACTCGGGAATTTTCCCCTAGATACAGCAGGATTACGTCAATAAATCCCTGGGATTACACCTGAGCAAACCCCCCCCCCTAATCTAGTGTATAGTGAGTATACAACTGCAACATTCTGACGATATACACACACTAGACTCCTGATTATATACATCTCTTATGTATATGTATATTTGATATGAGTCCATTGTCTCCTCCCACACGCTGCCACTCACCCTGTCTCAGCACCCTACCTCAGCACCCTACCTCAGCACCCTACCTCAGCACCCTACCTCAGCACCCTACCTCAGCACCCTACCTCAGCACCCTACCTCAGCACCCTATCTCAGCACCCTACCTCAGCCCCCCACCTCCGCACCCTACCTCAGCACCCTACCTCAGCACCCTACCTCAGCACCCTACCTCAGCACCCTACCTCAGCACCCTACCTCAGCACCCTACCTCAGCACCCTACCTCAGCACCCTATCTCAGCACCCTACCTCAGCACCCTATCTCAGCACCCTACCTCAGCACCCTATCTCAGCACCCTACCTCAGCACCCTACCTCAGCACCCTACCTCAGCACCCTACCTCAGCACCCTACCTCAGCACCCTACCTCAGCACCCTACCTCAGCACCCTACCTCAGCACCCTGTCTCAGCACCCTACCTCAGCACCCTACCTCAGCACCCTACCTCAGCACCCTACCTCAGCACCCTACCTCAGCACCCTACCTCAGCACCCTACCTCAGCACCCTACCTCAGCACCCTACCTCAGCACCCTACCTCAGCACCCTACCTCAGCACCCTACCTCAGCACCCTACCTCAGCACCCTACCTCAGCACCCTATCAATAGGTAGCCTGTGTTACCCTCCCCTCGGCGGTCCTTCACCCTCCCTATGACCTATCGGGCTTTACTCATCCGCTCCCTTCCCCTTGTTCAGTACATCTCTGTATACCTTCCCCTCACCCACCGTGGCTGGTGGTGCCCTGTACTCACCCTTCCCCTCACCCACCGTGGCTGGTGGTGCCCTGTACTCATCCTTCCCCTCACCCACCGTGGCTGGTGGTGCCCTGTACTCACCCTTCCCCTCACCCACCGTGGCTGGTGGTGCCCTGTACTCACCCTTCCCCTCACCCACCGTGGCTGGTGGTGCCCTGTACTCACCCTTCCCCTCACCCACCGTGGCTGGTGGTGCCCTGTACTCACCCACCGTGGCTGGTGGTGCCCTGTACTCACCCACCGTGGCTGGTGGTGCCCTGTACTCACCCACCGTGGCTGGTGGTGCCCTGTACTCACCCACCGTGGCTGGTGGTGCCCTGTACTAATCCTTCCTCTCACCCACTTACCCAGCAAGAGGGAACACCTACCCGGGCCCCTGGACCCCCAGCATCATGGGGGTCCTCATCAGGGCCGACTGGACCATGATGAGCGGCCATACAGTAGGCTCGAACCCTCACCACAGGCCTCCAGACACACGCCTGGCTCGGTCGGTATAGTGCGTGTGTCTGGGAAGATCAGGCACGCGGGTTCGATCCCATTGTATACCACAATATTTTCTCATAGATATATAAGACTGTTGTGTTGTATTGCTGTCGCAGGGGACAGGAAGCCTGTAGTTGCTCTCACCAACGTCCCCCAGGCCTCATACTGACCTTCCAGAAGGATACAAACCCACAACAGTTGGCTAAGTCCGAAGGAAAGCTAGTTAATGCAGGGTGAACAGAGGCATTAGGCTCAAATGTAACAATAATACACAGGAAAGTCTCTGGTGGTATACACCTGCAAGGGACGACGAGGTTCGGAAGCCACTCAATATGCAGATAAAATTTTCCCCACACTGAGAGAGAGAGAGAGCATTGTGTGGAAATTCCTGAGCTGCGAGGAAGTGGCAGGTGGCGGGGGGGGGGGGGGGGCGGGGGTGTATTTGTGGGTCAGCTCTTGTCAATACTGTGGTGAATAATGGCCAGGGAGGGAGAGGGAGAGAGAGGTAGAGAGGAGAGAGAAGTAGAGAGGAGAGAGAAGTAGAGAGGAGAGAGAAGTAGAGAGGAGAGAGAAGTAGAGAGGAGAGAGAAGTAGAGAGGAGAGAGAAGTAGAGAGAGAGAGAGAGAGAGAGAGAGAGAGAGAGAGAGAGAGAGAGAGAGAGAGAGAGAGAGAGAGAGAGAGAGAGAGAGAGAGAGAGAGAGAGAGAGAGAGAGAGAGAGAGAGAGAGAGAGAGAGAGAGAGAGAGAGAGAGAGAGAGAGAGAGAGAGAGAGAGAGAGAGAGAGAGAGAGAGAGAGAGAGAGAGAGAGAGAGAGAGAGAGAGAGAGAGAGAGAGAGAGAGAGAGAGAGAGAGAGAGAGAGAGAGAGAGAGAGAGAGAGAGCATGCCTGACCTTATGCTCTAACAACGTCCACATCAACAACCTTCCTGAGGCTCAAGACCAAGCTGATGACTCTAAGCTTTACGTAAGGGAAGTAAGGAACACCAAGAGCTTCAAGACTCAACACTCACCAACACTCACCAACACTCACCAACACTCACCAACACTCACCAACACTCACCAACACTCACCAACACCCACCAACACTCACCAACACTCACCAACACTCACCAACACTCACCAACACTCACCAACACTCACCAACACTCACCAACACTCACCAACACTCACCAACACTCACCAACACTCACCAACACTCACCAACACTCACCAACACTCACCAACACCCACCAACACTCACCAACACCCACCAACACTCACCAACACTCACCAACACTCACCAACACTCACCAACGTCCACCTGGCGGAAGGTGACGGCGGGTCACAGTCGTCAGAGACAACACACACGGTCGTCATAACTAAACTGGACCTTGCAAGTCCTTCACGCTTGCAATTGGGCGGGAAAGCTTTAGAGTTGACAGATGAAACTGACATACTGTGAATGTTCGATGCTTCAGTGTCAATAAAGAGCCACGTGCTTAACCTGGCCCATGAGGCAACCAGGAGACTTACAGCTGTACGGCGCCTCCCACACCTTGACAACAAGGGCTGCAACACCTTATATAGAGCTGCATACTCTCATCTAGAGTATGCACCACTCTCCTGGGTCGCCTGCCTCGCATCTTTCGTCAGACTGTTGGACAAAGTAGAGAGACGGGCCAGAAGACTTATCTCTAGTCTTGACCAAGTCTGGTGGGAACGGTCTGAACATCAGAGCCTGCAATACCGTCGGGACGTCAGTGGTCTTACGGTTAGGTAAGGCCAACATCTTCAAAGTTCCGCACTTGGCCCAACTCCGTGGACTACCAGTAGTTGCCACCCGTAGCACTAGGCTCTCAACCTTCAACAGTTTCATGCTGGCAGTGCCATTCTCAGGAACATCACTCCATCAGCGATCATTCACTCCCTGACTGACTGGCATCTGGAACTGGTTCACCCAACAGGTTGATACACGGGAGATCAGGTCAAGTGACCACATGAAGGCTCTGGCACACAGTTGGCTACAGCCTCATCCTCTTCCTTAAATCTTCCTTATACCTTCCTTATATGTTACTTTGATATAAAGTTTACTGCTAATGACTCGAATAATTATCTCACGACAAGAGTCTCTAGGAGCAACTGCAGATGAGCAGAGGTAGGATAACAGCCCTTGCTTGCTGGCTTTCAAGATCATGTCTCCCTCGATAACACACCCCACTTGGACTAGTCGGTATAGCGACGGTCTCGGTTCTTGCAGGACGGCGTTCAATCCCCGATGATCCAAGTGGTTGGGAAGCTAACTTACCCTTATGTGACGACGTTTCTGTCCGTCCTGGACCCTTATATGGCGACGTTTCTGTCCGTCCTGGACCCTTATGTGACGACGTTTCTGTCCGACCTGGACCCTTATGTGACGACGTTTCTGTCCGACCTGGACCCTTATGTGACGACGTTTCTGTCCGTCCAGGACCCTTATGTGGCGACGTTTCTGTCCGTCCTGGACCCTTATGTGACGACGCTTCTGTCCGTCCTGGACCCTTGAGTGACGACACTTCTGTCCGTCCTGGACCCTTATGTGACGACGTTTCTGTCCGTCCAGGACCCTTATGTGACGACATTTCTGTCCGTCCTGGACCCTTATGTGACGACGTTTCTGTCCGTCCAGGACCCTTATGTGACGACGTTTCTGTCCGTCCTGGACCCTTATGTGGCGACGTTTCTGTCCGTCCTGGACCCTTATGTGGCGACGTTTCTGTCCGTCCAGGACCCTTATGTGGCGACGTTTCTGTCCGTCCTGGACCCTTATGTGACGACGTTTCTGTCCGTCCAGGACCCTTATGTGACGACGTTTCTGTCCGTCCTGGACCCTTATGTGACGACGTTTCTGTCCGTCCTGGACCCTTATGTGACGACGTTTCTGTCCGACCTGGACCCTTATGTGACGACGTTTCTGTCCGTCCAGGACCCTTATGTGACGACGTTTCTGTCCGTCCAGGACCCTTATGTGGCGACGTTTCTGTCCGTCCTGGACCCTTATGTGACGACGCTTCTGTCCGTCCTGGACCCTTGAGTGACGACGCTTCTGTCCGTCCTGGACCCTTATGTGACGACGTTTCTGTCCGTCCTGGACCCTTATGTGACGACGTTTCTGTCCGTCCAGGACCCTTATGTGGCGACGTTTCTGTCCGACCTGGACCCTTATGTGACGACGTTTCTGTCCGTCCAGGACCCTTTTGTGACGACGTTTCTGTCCGTCCTGGACCCTTATGTGACGACGTTTCTGTCCGTCCTGGACCCTTATGTGACGACGTTTCTGTCCGTCCAGGACCCTTATGTGACGACGTTTCTGTCCGTCCTGGACCCTTATGTGACGACGTTTCTGTCCGTCCTGGACCCTTATGTGACGACGTTTCTGTCCGTCCAGGACCCTTATGTGGCGACGTTTCTGTCCGACCTGGACCCTTATGTGACGACGTTTCTGTCCGTCCAGGACCCTTATGTGACGACGTTTCTGTCCGTCCTGGACCCTTATGTGACGACGTTTCTGTCCGTCCTGGACCCTTATGTGACGACGTTTCTGTCCGTCTAGGACCCTTATGTGACGACGTTTCTGTCCGTCCTGGACCCTTATGTGGCGACGTTTCTGTCCGTCCTGGACCCTTATGTGACGACGTTTCTGTCCGTCCTAGACCCTTATGTGGCGACGTTTCTGTCCGTCTAGGACCCTTATGTGACGACGTTTCTGTCCGTCCTGAATCCAGACGCTTGAGGCAGAACTCACTAACCTTTACAGGGTGACTGGTGGGTGGTGGGGGATGGTCATAGGAAGGTCAGGGTCGGCCCTCGTGTCCCCCTCCCCCCCTCCCCCCCTTCCCCTTCCCTATATCGTTCACAATAACGTCCAACCTCGCTAACGTGTAGACACTAACGTCCGACCTCGCTAACGTGTAGACACTAAGATTCATGCAGCATATTATACTGGACATGATTCTGAAGTGCTGGGAAGACTCCCGGAAAAATCTACACTACCAAGATAGATGAACCCAACGGTGTCCGGGCAGTGAATTACAGTGATGTAGACACTGTACAATGAAGGCTGTTACAGTGATGACGGGAGTACGTCAGAGGCTGACAGTAATAGTCTGCTTACACACACCATCACACAGGTGACACACAGGGGGTCTCGTAGCCTGGTGGATAGCGCGCAGGACTCGTAATTCTGTGGCGCGGGTTCGATTCCCGCACGAGGCAGAAACAGATGGGCAAAGTTTCTTTCACCCTGAATGCCCCTGTTACCTAGCAGTAAATAGGTACCTGGGTGTTAGTCAGCTGTCACGGGCTGCTTCCTGGGGGTGGAGGCCTGGTCGAGGACCGGGCCGCGGGGACACTAATGCCCCGAAATCATCTCAAGATAACCTCAAGATAACCATGAATCCATACTATGCAACAGAAGGATAAACGACCACCGAGATACAATACAACGATACAGTACATGTGCGCATGCGCCAGAAAATAAAAGATAACGAGGCAGTTTAAACAAGATGAATGATAATTGCATAACATAATTGCACCAAAAAGTCAGCCCCCAGCTTGGAGGCCGCAGTAAATTATCTTATCACAAGGCTACGCTCAACAGCCCTACACGACAGCCCCCTTTGTCCACTTGTACAACAGTTACCCCCCTTGTAACACGATACAAGGGGGGGGGATATCCAGAAGAGAATACACTGTACAAGAGGGAATATCCAGAGGAGAATACACTGTACAAGAGAGAATATTCAGAGGAGAATACACTGTACAAGAGGGAATATCCAGAAGAGAATACACTGTACAAGAGAGAATATTCAGAGGAGAATACACTGTACACGGTGGAATATCCAGAGGAGAATACACTGTACAAGAGGGAATATCCAGAGGAGAATACACGGTACAAGAGAGAATATCCAGAGGAGAATACACGGTACAAGAGGGAATATCCAGAGGAGAATACACTGTACAAGAGAGAATATCCAGAGGAGAATACACTGTACAAGAGGGAATATCCAGAGGAGAATACACTGTACAAGAGAGAATATCCAGAGGAGAATACACTGTACAAGAGGAATTATCCAGAGGAGAATACACTGTACAAGAGAGAATATTCAGAGGAGAATACACTGTACAAGAGGGAATATCCAGAAGAGAATACACTGTACAAGATGGAATATCCAGAGGAGAATACACTGTACAAGGGGGAATATCCAGAGGAGAATACACTGTACACGGTGGAATATCCAGAGGAGAATACACTGTACAAGAGGGAATATCCAGAGGAGAATACACTGTACAAGAGAGAATATCCAGAGGAGAATACACTGTACAAGAGGAATTATCCAGAGGAGAATACACTGTACAAGAGAGAATATTCAGAGGAGAATACACTGTACAAGAGGGAATATCCAGAGGAGAATACACTGTACAAGATGGAATATCCAGAGGAGAATACACTGTACACGGTGGAATATCCAGAGGAGAATACACTGTACAAGAGAGAATATCCAGAGGAGAATACACTGTACAAGAGGGAATATCCAGAGGAGAATACACGGTACAAGAGAGAATATCCAGAGGAGAATAAACTGTACAAGAGAGAATATCCAGAGGAGAATACACGATACAAGGGGGAGGGATATCCAGAGGAGAATACACTGTACAAGAGAGAATATCCAGAGGAGAATACACTGTACAAGAGGAATTATCATGAGGAGAATACACTGTACAAGAGGGAATATCCAGAGGAGAATACACTGTACAAGATGGAATATCCAGAGGAGAATACACTGTACAAGAGGGAATATCCAGAGGAGAATACACTGTACAAGAGAGAATATCCAGAGGAGAATACACGATACAAGGGGGAGGGATATCCAGAGGAGAATACACTGTACAAGGGGGAATATCCAGAGGAGAATACACTGTACAAGAGGGAATATCCAGAGGAGAATACACTGTACAAGAGAGAATATCCAGAGGAGAATACACGATACAAGGGGGAGGGATATCCAGAGGAGAATACACTGTACAAGGGGGAATATCCAGAGGAGAATACACTGTACAAGAGAGAATATCCAGAGGAGAATACACGATACAAGGGGGAGGGATATCCAGAGGAGAATACACTGTACAAGGGGGAATATCCAGAGGAGAATACACTGTACAAGAGAGAATATCCAGAGGAGAATACACGGTACAAGAGGGAATATCCAGAGGAGAATACACTGTACAAGGGGGAATATCCAGAGGAGAATACACTGTACAAGAGAGAATATCCAGAGGAGAATACACGGTTCAAGAGGGAATATCCAGAGGAGAATACACTGTACAAGGGGGAATATCCAGAGGAGAATACACTGTACAAGAGGGAATATCCAGAGGAGAATACACGGTACAAGAGAGAATATCCAGAGGAGAATACACGGTACAAGAGGGAATATCCAGAGGAGAATACACTGTACAAGGGGAATATCCAGAGGAGAATACACTGTACAAGAGGGAATATCCAGAGGAGAATACACGGTACAAGAGAGAATATCCAGAGGAGAATACACTGTACAAGAGGGAATATCCAGAGGAGAATACACGGTACAAGAGGGAATATCCAGAGGAGAATACACTGTACAAGGGGGAATATCCAGAAGAGAATACACTGTACAAGGGGGAATATCCAGAGGAGAATACACTGTACAAGAGGGAATATCCAGAGGAGAATACACTGTACAAGAGAGAATATCCAGAGGAGAATACACGATACAAGGGGGAGGGATATCCAGAGGAGAATACACTGTACAAGGGGGAATATCCAGAGGAGAATACACTGTACAAGAGGGAATATCCAGAGGAGAATACATTGTACAAGAGAGAATATCCAGAGGAGAATACACGATACAAGGGGGGGGGGGATATCCAGAGGAGAATACACTGTACAAGGGGGAATATCCAGAGGAGAATACACTGTACAAGAGTGAATATCCAGAGGAGAATACACGGTACAAGAGAGAATATCCAGAGGAGAATACACTGTACAAGAGGGAATATCCAGAGGAGAATACACTGTACAAGAGGGAATATCCAGAGGAGAATACACGGTACAAGAGGGAATATCCAGAGGAGAATACACTGTACAAGAGGGAATATCCAGAGGAGAATACACTGTACAAGAGGGAATATCCAGAGGAGAATACACTGTACAAGAGGGAATATCCAGAGGAGAATACACTGTACAAGAGGGAATATCCAGAGGAGAATACACTGTACAAGGGGGAATATCCAGAAGAGAATACACTGTACAAGGGGGAATATCCAGAGGAGAATACACTGTACAAGAGAGAATATCCAGAGGAGAATACACTGTACAAGAGAGAATATCCAGAGGAGAATACACTGTACAAGAGAGAATATCCAGAGGAGAATACACTGTACAAGAGAGAATATCCAGAGGAGAATACACGGTACAAGAGAGAATATCCAGAGGAGAATACACTGTACAAGGGGGAATATCCAGAGGAGAATACACTGTACAAGAGGGAATATCCAGAGGAGAATACACGGTACAAGGGGGAATATCCAGAGGAGAATACACGGTACAAGGGGGGAGGGATATCCAGAGGAGAATATGCAAAGGATAATACACAATTCGAGGGGCAATATTCCCTCTTTCTATCCAGTTTCGAGGCTTTATTTTCTTGAAGATATTTCATGATATTGGGCTTTGTATCCTTGTGTACATGTTAAAGTATTTTTTGTGATTGTACCCCAGACAAAAACATGTTTTTTATGTTGGTACAATGGGAGAGTTAGTGTGTGTGTAATGGCTTTGTTTATGCATGTGGGGCGTGGGCCTCCAGGTCGTAAGTTTTGACATAAAAACTTATGCTTCATCTGCATTATATGTGCGGGTCTGAGGTGTTAATTAACCTGGTTGGCACGTTATGGGGTCCCGGCTCTCTGGTGGTGTTGTGGTTACTGTGGCAACCTTCAGTGTTGGCTACCTCATACGCGTTCCTGTGTGTTTAGTGTTTGTGTGGGTGTGGGTGTGTGTGTTTGTGTGGGTGTGTGTGTGTGTGTGTGTGTGTGTGTGTGTGTGTGTGTGTGTGTGTGTGTGTGTGTGTGTGTGTGTGTGTGTGTGTGTGTGTGTGTGTGTGTGTGTGTGTGTGTGTGTGTTTTCGTGTTCGCGTGTGCGTGTGTGTGTGTGTGTGTAGGGAGGGGGGGGTGTACTCGCCTATTCTCCCATAATCTTGCCTGCGGGAGGTTGAACTTCGGCTCTTTGGTCCCGCCTCTCAATCGTCATTCAACATGTGTACAGGTTCCTGAGCCTACTGGGTTCTATCATATCTACATTTGAAACTGTGTATGGAGTCAGCCTCCACCACATCACTGCCTAATGCATTCCATCCGTTAACTACTCTGACACTGAAAAGGTTCTCTCTAATATTTCTGTGGCTCATTTCGAATGATTCGGTACAAATCATTTCGGTTTCCAGCAGTGTCCCATAGTTTGCATACCACCTGCGCTAAATAGTTTATTTTTATATACCCTCTTAATTCCTCTGAGAATTTTTTAGCTGGTGATCATGTCTCCCCCGAACTCTTCTGTTCTTCTGTCTTCCAGTGTTATAAGGTTTAATTCCAGTATTTTTCCTCGTAGTTCATACCCCTCAGCTTGGGGACTAGCCTGGTGGAATATGTCTGAATCTTTTCTAACTTCGTTTTGTGTTTGACTAGATGTTGACTCCAGGCTGGAGCTGCATACTGCAGTATTGGTCTGACACCTGAGGTGTATAAGGTTCCCAATGATTCCTTACACAAGTTTCTGAAGGCATTTCCTATGTTGGCCTGCCATGAAAGTATGCTTTTTTGCATCCCGTTACAATTAACAGTTTGCTCTTCTTTGCTGGAATTTTCACTTTTGCGGTCTCGTAAGCGAATATTATCTTTATCAGCCGGTCTCTGTCCGTGTTGTTCTTGCCAAGCCTGAAAACCTTCTCTATATTTTGTTCAGCCCTCTCCATCTGTACCCCTTTTCAAGATCTCTGTCTTTGTAGCTTCGTTCTTATCTCTCCCCTCCATCTGATTGGGACCTGCTCGTTCCCTAATACCTACTGCGACTACTGTTCTTTTCCTCTCCAGCAGCTGACTAATGCCTCTTGCTGCCTCATGAGAAGTGGCTGCTTTCATGGCAACTTCTTTCCCTACGGACATGGTTTCTGAGCTTTTTCTCGGCAGTTCTGCTAATGTACTGTAGAAATCCCTTCTACTGATATTCACCCAGCTTCCTGAGGGATGATTGGTCTCTGTGACAGAGTAGGGTTCTCTGTGAGGCTTTTTATCTCCCCCCTTTGCTTCCTCTCGCTCATCTTGTAGGCTGCTTATTGTCTTTCATATTACTCTCAGTACCTATCTCAATCCCCCCCTCCCCTCCCGCCCCCACATGACCATCTCATTAATTGGTTTACCGTGACCCTCACCTACACCTGTGTTCTATGTCTCCCTTCCTTGTTTGTTCCCTATTCCAGTACATAGGGCGGGAGGTGGGGCTATCCCACGAGAGAAGGGGAGGAGAGAGAGAGAGGGAAAGGAAGGGGGGGGGGCAGGGACGAAGGGATATGGCAGGAAGAGGAAGAGTGGGAGGGATGCCAGGGAGAGGTGCAAGAGAGAGAGAGGATGAAGGAAGACAGGAATGGACAGAAGAAAGGGAGGGGAGTGTGGGACGAGGGTTGCGTGAGGGGAGAGAGGAAGAGGGGGGTCGGTGTGTGCGTGTGTGTGCGCGTTTGTCAGTGCGTGTGTGCTTACTCGGGTGTGGGTACGTGCATTTGTGAGAGATTGCGTGCGTAAGTGATCCCGATCCTGATTGCGTGTGTGGTGGTCTCGTTCTCGTGAGTGTACGCACCTATTTGTGCTTGCGGGGGTTGAGCTTTGGCTCTTTGGTGTGTGTGTGTGTGTGTGTGTGTGTGTGTGTGTGTGTGTGTGTGTGTGTGTGTGTGTGTGTGTGTGTGTGTGTGTGTGTGTGTGTGTGTGTGTGTTCCACTAGTTGTATTTACCTAGTTGTGCTTCCGGGATATGAGCTCTGCTCCTTCGGCCCGCCTCTTAACTGTCAATCAATCAAATGTTACTAACTACTAACTAATATTTCCTACCCCTCCCCCCCCCACAACAGGAAGCAGCCCGTAGCAGCTGTCTAACTCCCAGGTACCTGTTAACTGCTAGGTAACAGGGGTCTCTGGGCGAAAGCAACTCTGCCCATATTGTTTCCTGCCGGCGCCGGGAATAGAACCCCGGACCACAGGATTACGTATCGAGCATGCTGTCCACTAAGCCACAGGCCACTGTAACCTGTGTGTATGTGTGTGTGTGTATGTGTGTGTGTGTGTGTGTGTGTGTGTGTGTGTGTGTGTGTGTGTGTGTGTGTGTGTGTGTGTGTGTGTGTGTGTGTGTGTGTATGTGTGTGTGTGTGTATGTGTGTGTGTATGTGTGTGTGTATGTGTGTGTGTGTGTGTGTGTGTGTGTGTGTGTGTGTGTGTGTGTGTGTGTGTGTGTGTGTGTGTGTGTGTGTGTGTGTGTGTGTGTGTGTGTACTCACCTATTTGTGCCTGCAGGATCGAACATTGACTCTTGGATCCCGCCTTTCTAGCCATCGGTCTTTACAGCAATGACTCCTGTCCCATTTCCCTATCATATCTAGTTTTAAAATTATGAATAGAGTTTGCTTCCACAACCTGTTCCTGAAGTGCATTCCATTTTCCCACTACTCTCACGCTAAAAGAAAACTTCCTAACATCTCTGTGACTCATCTGAGTTTCCAGCTTCCATCCATGTCCCCTCGTTCTGTTACTATTCCGTGTGAACATTTCGTCTATGTCCACTCTGTCAATCCCTCTGAGTATCTTATACGTTCCTATCATGTCCCCCCTCTCCCTTCTTCTTTCTAGTGTCGTAAGGTACAGTTCCATCAGGCGCTCTTCATACCTAATCCCTCGTAACGCTGGGACGAGTCTTGTTGCAAACTTCGGAACCTTTTCCAGTTTCCTTATGTGTTTCTTCAGATGGGGACTCCATGATGAGGCGGCATACTCTAAGACTGGCCTCACGTAGGCTGTGTAAAGCGCCCTAAATGCCTCCTTACTTAGGTTTCTGAATGATGTTCTAACTTTTGCCAGTTTACATATTATTACTTCTGTCAGTGTAGGTTTCTGAATGATGTTCTAACATTTGCCAGTTTACATATTATTACTTCTGTCAGTGTAGGTTTCTGAATGATGTTCTAACATTTGCCAGTTTACATATTATTACTTCTGTCAGTGTAGGTTTCTGAATGATGTTCTAACATTTGCCAGTTTACATATTATTACTTCTGTCAGTGTAGGTTTCTGAATGATGTTCTAACATTTGCCAGTTTACATATTACTACTTCTGTCAGTGTGTATTTGTGTGTGCGCGTGCAAGTGTATGTAGAAGTGTTTTTTTTTCTGAATGTATAAGGATATGAGGCAAGAGCAGCCGACTACTGACTCCTGTTAGCTGGCTGAGAGCTTTCCCTTCCCATAGCTCATGGTAAGCCTTACTCTACTAGTTTTACACACAGGTGGGTACAGGAGCAGACGACTGCTGACTCCTGTTAGCTGGCTGAGAGCTTTCCCTTCCCATAGCTCATGGTAAGCCTTACCCTACTAGTTTTACACACAGGAGGGTACAGGAGCAGACGACTGCTGACTCCTGTTAGCTGGCTGAGAGCTTTCCCTTCCCATAGCTCATGGTAAGCCTTACCCTACTAGTTTTACACACAGGAGGGTACAGGAGCAGACGACTGCTGACTCCTGTTAGCTGGCTGAGAGCTTTCCCTTCCCATAGCTCATGGTAAGCCTTACCCTACTAGTTTTACACACAGGAGGGTACAGGAGCAGACGGCTGCTGACTCCTGTTAGCTGGCTGAGAGCTTTCCCTTCCCATAGCTCATGGTAAGCCTTACCCTACTAGTTTTACACACAGGAGGGTACAGGAGCAGCCGACTGCTGACTCCTGTTAGCTGGCTGAGAGCTTTCCCTTCCCATAGCTCATGGTAAGCCTTACCCTACTAGTTTTACACACAGGAGGGTACAGGAGCAGACGACTGCTGACTCCTGTTAGCTGGCTGAGAGCTTTCCCTTCCCATAGCTCATGGTAAGCCTTACTCTACTAGTTTTACACACAGGAGGGTACAGGAGCAGCCGACTGCTGACTCCTGTTAGCTGGCTGAGAGCTTTCCCTTCCCATAGCTCATGGTAAGCCTTACCCTACTAGTTTTACACACACGAGGGTACAAGAGCAGACGACTGCTGACTACTGTTAGCTGGCTGAGAGCTTTCCCTTCCCATAGCTCATGGTAAGCCTTACCCTACTAGTTTTACACACAGGAGGGTACAGGAGCAGCCGACTGCTGACTCCTGTTAGCTGGCTGAGAGCTTTCCCTTCCCATAGTTCATGGTAAGCCTTAACCTACTAGTTTTACACACAGGTGGGCACAACTCGCCACCAAAATGATTTCGGAAGCCATCGTTTATTTCATTATGGAATATCATAATAAAAACATTTCAGCTTTCCGAGGCGATTTTCATTTGAATTCAAGCATGTGTGCGAAAAGATAATTTGCCCACTGTATATATTGACCGGTAAACAAGTCTAAAATTAAACATTTCAATCAATTTTAGTTCCATT